CTCTCTAGCAGCTCAAGATCCCCCCCTGTAACCAAGGGGACCCCCTGACCCTTCCCAGTGCCCCCCAGTCCCCTCCAGTTCTCTCCTGCACCCCAGAACACTCATCCCAGCCCCTCCCAGTACCCACAGTGCCCCTCAGCAGCCCTGACCTTCCATCCCTGCACAGGAGACTCCTGATCGAGGAGCTGGAGGCTCGGATTGCGTTGATGCCACTGCTGCAGGCAGAGTCTGACCGCAGGTATGGGATCCTGGGGAACCCCCCCGGGTCCTGGAGACACCCCAAGGTCCGGGGACCCCCCCCTGGGTGCTGTGTTCCCCCCCACATTCCATGCTCAGCCCCCTCTGTCCCTCAGGACCCTCAGGATGCTGCGGCAGAACTTGGATGAAGAGGCAAAAATCATGAAGGATGTTCCTGGCTGGAAGGTTTGTGGCTCTAGGGAGAGGTGATGGGTGTCCCTCCCTGATCCCACGGGTGGGAATCAGCCAGCCCGAGGGATTGGGCTCAGCTCCTGGAAAGCTCAGACCTCCTGGGCTTGGAGAAGCTCCGTGGAACCGGCTGTGAGCTCCTTCTCGCGGCAGCGCTGGGAGCAGGAGGTGGGAGGGCCCTGACCTGCCCCCGGCGGCTGTTCCCGCCCCTCCCGGCATTCCCTCCCTTCCAGGTGGGCGAATCCGTGTTCCACACGGATCGCTGGGTGCCTCCAACGCTGGATGAGCTGTACTACCTGCGGCCCTTGTCTGAGCTGGAGAATGAGAAGTTCGGGCTGCAGTACTACGTCTGAGGCACTTCCTTGGCTCCTCCTTCCCAATCCTGGCCCTTCCCGGGCTCCTCTTTCCCAATCCAGGGCTGTTTTCCCCCATGCTGGCACTTCCCAGCTCCTGGAGTCCCTCAGTGCCTGTTCCAACACTTGTTATTAAACCATAGGGATCCAGTGTTCTGTGTGTCCTGTGCATCCCTGTATCCCCCAGGGGGAATTTGGCAGCTTCCAAGGTGTTTCCTGCTTTTCCTGGCTGGGAATTGGAGTGGGAATGTGGGGTGGAGTGAGCAGGTGGTGGTTGAGATGGGCTGAGCTCGTGTTGCTGCCAGGGGCTGTCCCTGTCCCTTGTTACCCTCAGTGTCAGAGGGATCAGGAGGAGCTCTGAGCTCTCCCTGCACTCCGTGATCCCACGGATGCAGGTCCCACAGGAGCAGGGGGATAAAAAACACCAATTTGGAGCAGTGGCCACAATTTTCACTCATTCCCATTGCTCAGGGGTGGCAGGAGGCTTCCTGGGATCTTGAGGGGAGGTCTGCACTGCTTCTCCCATCCCCATCCCACAGGTTTGGGAGGGGGAGTGTCACAACTCCATTCCCACTGCTCCCATTCCCAGTTTCTCCTTCCCCCTATTCCATCCCCGGGACCGCGGGGGGAATCTCCTCTGCCCCTCCTGGCTGCATCCCGCGGGCTGAGCAGGATCACATCTCCATTCCCACTCCTCCCATTCCCGATCCTCCCTATTCCATCCCTGGGACCGCGGGGGGAATCTCCTCTGCCCCTCCTGGCTGCATCCCGCGGGCTGAGAGAGATCACATCTCCATTCCCACCCCGCTATTCCCACTCTTCCCATTCCCGACCTCCCTATTACATCTCCTGGACCGTGAGGGGATCTCCTCTGCCTCTCCTGGCCACATCCCGCGGGCTGAGCGGGATCACATCTCCATTTCCACCCCGCTATTCCCACTCCTCCCATTCCCGACCTCCCTATTCCATCCCCTGGACCGCGGGGGGATCTCCTCTGCCCCTCCTGGTCACATCCCGCGGGCTGAGAGGGATCACAACTCCTTTCCCAACCCGCTATTCCCACTCCTCCCACTCCCAG